TATTATCTGCAATATATATGCCAACTCCTCCAGCCGAGAGAGGCGTTGGAACGTATTCAAAATTATATCCCGGCAAATCAGGATTAAAAGTTAATGGTTGATTTTCAGTTATTCGCGTTTCAGAAACACCAATCACATTGAAACTAAAGTTCAATTCACTTAACAGGTGGCTCTGGAACGCTTCGATATTTCTTTTGAGGCTCCTTACATTATTATGTAAAAATGAAAGCGTATGTTTGCACGTATCTGCTAAGCTATTATTATAAGTTTGAAAACTATGCGGCGAAAAGTAACGGCAGTCATGCCGAACTAATGAATGCAAGTTTCGATCAGGATTAATATCATTATCAAAGGTGGCACTTAAGTTAAAAATATTTACATCAAATAGACTAGGTAACGAATCTAGGGTATTTTTTGAAGGTAATGCATTCGGTAAACTATTATTAAAGCTTCCATGCACTTGAGATATGTTTTGACGGTTATATGGCAATAAAGAAAAATACTTCTTGTTCTCTTTACATTGCTCTTTATAAGCTAGCGCCATTTGACTAAAGGTTCGCGATACAAGTTAAACACACAACAAAATTTAGGGATACTTATCTGTATCCTAATAAGTGTTTGAGGATCCTTCTGAGAGTTTCTTAAGATCATCCAGCTCAACAATCTTGATCGCGCGTGAGCCATCGCGTTGTCTTAGATATACCGAGTTAGATTTTGCCCAACAATAGGAATAATTATGAGCTGACTGGAATTTCTTAGCTTCAAAGAGTAAAGATTGAGCCTTTGGCGTAAGGTGTTCGAAAACTCTGATAACATCGCACTGCTCATCAAGCTCGATGTTGAAACCCAGCTGCGAGGGTTTGATTTTCCTTGCCTCGTTACGGACTTGCATGAGTGCATCCTTTGCTAATCGCCTGGTGAACTTGCACACAATCGGCTTCGGCTTGTTAACATTTGAATTTCTTATAGGTACTCTATGGGCAATGTCTATATCATTTATTGACGTATTGGCCCCCATCTTTGTAAACAAAATTTTAAGTCCAAAATCTAATGGATAATTCAAATTACACAGACATATTCAATAAAAATGCTTTTTTTGTTTAGGACTGCTCTAACTATCGTATATACGATCGAGAGGTAGTGGAATTGAGTAAAGATGTTTCATTGTTAATCCTCGTTCCTTCTCCTGAGGACGTGTGTTCTTGTCCCGGTGATGGCGATATCTTCTCAGATAATGATAGATTTTTATCCATTCCTGTTCCTGTTTTTGAAATGAGTAAGTAGCTTTTTTCCTGTAGTAACACTGGATCAATAAGAGACGATTCTTACTGGAGCTCTGGGGAGAACAGTTTAGAACTGATAGAGCTATCCAGTATAAATAAAGTTAGTGTAGTTTAGGTTTTCTGCTGTAGTAACACTGGGTCAATAAGGGATGCCTCTTACTGTACCTCTAGGAAAAACAGTTTAAACTGATAGAACTATCCAATATAGAGGAAGTTTGTTTAGTTCAAGTTCCTTCTGTGGTAACACTGAATCAATAAGAGATGGCTCTTAAATAAAGTTAGTTTAGATTAGGTTCCTCCTGTGGTGACACTGGACAAATAAGGAATGACCTAAACCGAAGAACGGTTTAGAAATATACATTGATATGTAGTAAACTCAATTTCTTCATGTTCATTTTCAGATGTAATGAAAACGTATCAAAACCAGTTCATATGTCATTATTCAAGACTTTCCTCCATTCTTGACATGGCATCGTTAATCAATCAACAGGATTGCAGAAAGGTTGGTTTGAAATTATAATACACCCCCCCCCATCTCTTAATCTCTTACAATCACTTACAAGAGTAATGTAATCTTTTTATACATGCGGCTGTATGAAAATTGATGTTGTCAAAGTACCAAATTTTTTTGCAGGCGATCTTGGAAGATGAAGTGAAGGAGACGAAGTCAGCACAAGACACACTTAGTAATTTTCAAAAGGTAAATTTTAAAACGAACTGTATTTATCTGGGGCCAGTTGTTCAAAGGTCGGTTAACTTCGTCCTAGATTAACAATTTCTTCAAAGCAATCTTCCCAATAGAAATCTTGTCCGGATCAACAGAAATTTTATTTTCCAAAGTTTTGAAGTAATCTGACATGCGGAAGCACTCAAATCAAAACAGTAGGTTAAGTTTTAACCCATGCTGAGACTATAGCTAGTCTAGCTTTGAACAACTGGGCCCCCTAGGTACACACTTAAAAACGCACAAGTTGTTACAAGTCTGCAAACAAGTTGTTACAAATCTGTTCACAAGCTGTCGACAAGTTGGGTTCGCACTGCTTGTTCCCAGTTGTTGTAACAAGTTTGGAACAAGCTGTTAACAACTTGTAACAAGCTGATTATCAGACTTTATCAGACTTGTTACAAGGTTGTTCTAACAAGTCTGATACAGTCATGATATAACAAGAATGTTACAAGGTTGACGACACAAGGTTGCAACAATATTGTTATGTCATGACTGTATCGGACTTGTTGGAACAATCTTGCAATAAGTCTGATAGTATCAACAAGGTTGTTACAATTTGTTAACAGCTTGTTCCAAACTTGTTGACAACTTGGGACAAGCAGTGCGAACACAACTTCTTGACAGCTTGTTGGCAGAGTTGTTACAAGATGTGAAATTTTTGCGTATGTAGTTTTATCAATCCAGAACTGTTCACCCTGAAGGTCCAGTAAGGACCATCACTAACTGATACAATGTTACTGCGAAGAAATTCTATACAACCGTACATTTCTCTTGTAGGAATTGGATGAGACGTGGAAAGGGATGAGATGGTTGTTGGACATCTTACATTATTCACGTGACCGCGAGAGTGTGAGTGGTATACCGCTGGACCTAGTATTTGACACGCGCCGTCCTTGTAGTCCAGAACCCTACGACTCGCATCGGAAACACTCGGAAAGAAAGAATTCGACCAACGGTTCTAACGGTGAGAAAAAAATTAAAATCTTTATTGGGCAGTAATCTTTAACAGGCAATTTTTTTCTATTTCGCGTATTTGTGATGAAAGGCGTTAAAAACCTAAAATCTTTGAAAAGAAAATGAGACGATAATGGTAAAATATTGTCAATTAAAATACAATCAACAATGCGCTTTAAAATTGACGCCATATTCGCAGCAATGTAAGCAAAACCTATTGAACTTCAGACATCATTTTTTCTTTGGCGTACCATCTAAAACCTCTTGATTTTAGCATTATTTTACAGGTAAAGCACTGAACATACTTTTGATTGAAATATTTCGTATTAATTTTAAGTTCTTCGAACTCTGTGGTTTAAGTTCATTGAGGTTTAAGTTGAACTCTGTGGAACAGCAGATTACTGCATGATCAAGTGACGAGAGATGGACAACAGTCTTCTTTGCTGAACTTGTGTCACATTAAAACATTTCTAGGAATTACTCCGATACCAGAAAGTGGAGTTCTCAAAATATACTCGGCGTGTGAAACTGGTCTAGCTCCTGGAAAAAGTGTTAAGGTGGGTGTGCGCTGTTTAGTTTTATTTTTGAACTGATCTGACATGACGTCACAGCGCCGGTGATGATGCATCTGGGGGACAAATTAGCAATCTATGCATAATATAACTTTTTGTAAACCACGCAAATTTTGTAAAACTTTATAATAATTTTGTATTAAAATAGTTAATTTTTGCGCTGTATGTGGTTGTTGTACCCGAACAGATATTGTTGGGGAGCATCTGGAGGACACTGTAAGGATTTGTGACGTCAGTGCAATGGGTCTATATATTCGGCAGACAATGTCACTAAAGCTAAATTCTACCTGTACCTTGGATTATAGTTTTGTGTTATATTCCTAAAACTATTATTGAGATTCTCAGTGCACCGAAGTATTTTTTTTTTAAAAATGTAACATGACAATATGACATCCAGTTTGACAACTTGTTAGTATCACTTGTCAGTATCACAGTGTCCGAGTGTCGATTTAATTGATATTTGCAGAAAATTTTCGATGTTTTTTTGCGCTCCCAGAAAGCAAAATATTTTCCCACTCGCTTTATCAGTTCTAAGCTGTTCTCAATAGAGCTCCAACAAAGCTCATCCCATAGGTGCACGAGCATACTGCATGATTTTCGTGTATATACGCTCGTGCTTATGAACAAACTGGATTTTGATATCCCATGAGCACGCTCTTGTGTATGTATCAAAGTCCTGTAAAAAGCTCGTTAGCATGCTTATGAGCATATGTTAATATGTAATAATTTTAAATAATTTTCTTGTATATATATATATATATATATATGATGCTCATGAGCACCCTCATATGAGCATTCCGGATTCTGATACGTCCTCCCATATCCCATCTCATACTCAATTGCATCTTCTTATCCCCTCTAGCTCCACGTATCCCCGTGCACGACAGTCCAGCAAGTTGTCCAGCTGGTCGTGAGGCAGTTGGAAAAACTCGTGAAGCAAAAGAAACCCGATTTGAAAGATCTGACAGAAGAAAAACTTAAAGAATTCTGTTTAGTCGCCGTAATCGGCGCCCGCGAACGATGTCTGAACGATGACTGTAAAATACTGCAGCTACAGAACCCTTGGGTGAAAGGAAAGCTATTTGTGCGCTTGCGCGTCGAGGCAATTGCCGCTGACAATCGATCGCCGTCGACTTCAGTCTGACCCAAATCATGTGAGGGGTTTCGCTCACTGATCTGAAGTGAGAATATTGGCTAAAGCCAAATGAATTGGTTTCACTAAGCACTATTGTTCAGCAGATGATGGTCAACTAGGAAATAAGGGCAATTCTTTCTCATTAGATGTAAAGTAAAACCCCGCATATAAGAACCTAGATTTTCCAAACAGGTTCTCATGCAAATGTTCTTACCAGGAATTTAGGCTAAACGCGTTCTTAAATAGGCTCTTATTTTCTTAAGAGAAAAGCGACTTATTTTAGGGAGGTACGCTAATATGATTTCCATAAACAATGCACAAACGATCTAAAAAATGACAGAAAATGCACTATACCAACCCTATATGCACGTTACAGCTACACTGATCGTAAATTATGGCTTAATTTTTTCTCTATTTGGTATTATAAGAATTGTTTTGAAATTCTAGCCTGAACAGGTTCTTACTTAAAGGGGGTTTAAATAAAATCTTTTTGCCTAACAGGTTCTTAAATTCTAGGTTCTTATATGTGGAGTTTTACTGTAGTAGTCTTATATTTGGAGGCTTAGGGCCTGTTCATATGATCCCGCTTACCGGGACGTCTCGCTTACCGAGACGAATATTTCCGTGCGTTCATATGGAGTATTTCGTCCCGCTTGCCGAGATGAAATTACATTGTAGTTCTATAATTAGCGTATGCAAAACTTCTACATTTCAGTCAAGCAACACAAATACTTAGCCATTTTAGTGTTTTTCTTCGTTTATTTACAAGAAAAAGTATTGCTTCAGGTGGTTATTTAATACTTGTTTACAAAACAAACATAAAACCAAGTAAAAAGTGTTAAATTAAACCGGCAAGACTTGTTTCACTACATCCCGGTAAGCGGGCTGGCGTGTTCATATGGAAACATTTTCATCCCGCCTACCTATGATCTCGGCAAATTCAAACGAGATCTCGGCAAGCGGGCCAGCTCGCTTTCTCATATGAACACAATGCAAAATTTTATAGGAAAATAGATAGGCGGCGAGATCATCGGTAAGCGAGACGTCCCGGTAAGCGGGATCATATGAACAGGCCCTAAGGGAATAGATTTGAGAGATGTAGATTTTCTAGCAGAAACGTATATTTGACGCTTCGCTAAGCATGAATATATTTATTTGACCATCATTGCTGCGCCGTATTCCTTGCTGAAACTCGCCAATGCACACATACAAAATATTTTGAAATTTAAAAATATATGAAGAGATGGACATAGTTCTATTATAGATTCAAAAGAATATTATTATTGCTGTAGACAGCAGTGTGAGCTGGGCTCATTTGTTTATATTGTAGAAAAAAAATTATTTGAAAAATAGTATTATAAATAGTCGTTTTAAATTTGGTATTGTGGAAATATATTGTCTGTTTGGTTCGAGTGAATGGTAAACACGGTAAAACGTCGGTTGTAGGGTGTAGCTGCTTGAAGAATATGTTCAGAGGCTTTTAGAAACGTCTGGCATAGACTAGAGCAAAGAAACATCAGCTCCGTCACTCAATTTTGGCCACAAAAGTTTGCGTGATTTAATATTTTAAAATTGGAAATATCTAGAAATATCAGGCATGATTTAATTTGTTTTCAGAGGTCTGGATTATTCATCTTGCGTGTGTGTGTCTTTGAGAGAATCCAGGGGAGGAAATGCATTTCAAGGTCAGTGGGAATACGAGAGAAAAGAGTAATATGTGGAAGGGGGCGCCCCTAGCGCCTGCAATGCATTGCAATTTTTTTGTGAAAAGGGCCATTATCTCTCTCGATCTTGCACGGTCAATTTTATCAGGTCTGGTAACGAATAATAATGAAATCCAAAATGGCGGATTTTTTGAAGCAGAGAAGATGTGTTTTGCGGTTTTGAAATGTGATTTTTTGCAAGATGCAAGCAAGTTTAGGCCAAGACCGTAGCGGAGATGATGTGTGGAGTAAGTGGCTCTGAAGTTGTCTAATTAAATCTGGAGATATTCCTTCCATAAAGTAAAATTTTGGGTATTTTTAAAACATGTTAATATATAAAATCTTCACTCATTTGCTTTTTCACGTGTTAATAATTAGTGTGTATTTTTACACAATGACCAATTTAGATGGTGTTTAGGTCTATCATTTGGTGTTTAGGTCTATCATTGTTGTCACATTCAATTAAAAATAGTCTACATTTGCCTTTGACAAATAAATCTAATGTCATTAAACACAATCAATTTACAAAGTTAGGGCACATAACAGCTTCTAGATTGTAAAGTTTGTCCTGGTGCAAAAATGATACTTGACAATCTGGAGCAGGTTAATGAGTTAAATCTTACATTTAGATGTGGCAACATGGAAATCGGACATATCATCAAAGGTCTCATTTATACGTCAAAATCTGAAAAAGCAAGTTGTTGCTTCCTCATGGAAACACACATTGAAAACCCAAGAGTTGTATTTTGTTACCGTGTTGAAACGATCGAACCGCTTTGATCTCTCGGAAGATGACATCGACAATGTTGATGTTATTGTTGAGATTGTCGATGAGTTTATATTTAACGAAGGCAAGGAGCTGTCAGCCATGCAAGAGCTGCAGTTGTTGGAGATATTGTGCAGTCATTTTCAAGCACATGACGATGATGTCGGGAGATGTCTACAGTTTGCCACCATGTTTAATTTAAGTCCACATGATGAGATGAAGGTTACTAGAATATATATTCAATGAATAGATTAGAAATATGTATCATATGGGCCAAGAAACTAGAAAGGTTGCCTCCCCCTCATTAAAACTTTGCACCTCTAGAAAGTTTGCACCCTCCAAAATTTTGCAAATCAAAAAATTTGAACATGCCCTTGGAACATCTTCAACACCATCCTCACCACCTCACCACTGGTGTACTCATCCCACCACACGCACCCACTACACTCACCCCACCACACTCACCCCACCACACTCACCCCACCTCACTCACCCCATTCCTAATTACGTTATGCTTGGTTAAGAATTCTATTCAAATCAGCAAACGAAAACATTCTGTTACGTCTCGATTCATTTGAGAAGCCATATAAACACCTCGAGCTCGTGTCTCACCGGGATATCCAAACACTCGAAAACAATGTATGAAAACACTCGCGCTTCGCGCTCGTGTTTTCATACATTGTTTTCTCGTGTTTGGATATCCCGGTGAAACACCT